GGGATCAACTTACATTTTCATCACGAACAAATGGATAAAAAAGTATATATAGACAATGAAATACTGTTCATCCTTTAAAAAAAAGGAGGCCTAGCAGAAGGCCAACCAGAACAAAATTAGTACATTAAACAACCAAAACTCAGGACCCTCACAGAGTCCATTTCACCCCCCTGCCACCTACACTGGAGCAGGTCCTGGTGTCCACAGCTGAGAGACCCACAGACAGTTCACATCACAGGACTCTGTGCAGACAACTCCCAGTACCAGCCTGCAGCCTGGTAGATCTGCTGCTGGCTAGATCATCCAGATAGGAGATAACAATCACTACAGCTCGGCTCTCAGGAAGCCACATCCCTAGGAAAAGAGGGAGAGTACTACATCAAGGGAACACTCCGCGTGACAATCTGAACAACAGCCTTAAGCCCTAGACGTGCCCTCTGACACAGCCTAAGCAAATGAGAAGGAACCAAAGCCAACTCTGGTAATATAACAAAACAAGATTTTTTAACATCCTCCAAAAAATCATACTAGCTCACCAGCATTGGATACAAACCAAGAAGAAATCCGTGATTTACCTGAAATCAGGTCAGTTATTAAGCTAATCAAGGAGGCACTAGGGAAATAAAATGATACTATAAATGAGGAGAGAAATTTCAGTTAAATAGATAGCACAAATAAAAAACAATCAAAACTTCAGGAAACAATGGATGTGCTTACAGAAATGCAACACACTCTGGAAAGTCTCAGCAAAAGAATCAACAAGCAGAAGAAAGAATTTCAGAGCTCAAATACAAGGCATTTTTGTTTGTTTTGAGATGGAGTCTCACTCCATCGCCCAGGCTGGAGTACAGTGGCGAGATCTCGGCTCACTGCAACCTCCACCTCCCAGGTTCAAGCAAATTCTTCTGCCTCAGCCCCCGGAGTAGCTGGGACTACAGGCACTCACTACCACACCCAGCTAATTTTTGTATTTTTAGTAGAGATGGGGTTTCACCATATTGGCCAGACTGGTCTTGAACTCCTGACCTTGTGGTCTGCCCATCTCAGCCTCCCAAAGTAAGACAAAGTTTTTGAATTAACGCAATCCAACAAAGACAAAGAAAAAATAGGAAAATATAAACAAAGCCTTGAAGAAGTCTGGGATTATGTTAAACAATGAAACCTAAGAATAATCGGCATTTCTGAGGAAGATGAGAAATCTAAAAGTTTAGAAAACATATTTAGGGTAATAATTAAGGAAAGCTTTCCCAGCCTTGCTAGAGACCTAGACATCCAAATATAAGAAGCTCAAACATAAGAAGCTCAAAGAACACATGGGAAATTCATCCCAAAAAGATAATCACCTAAGCACACTGTCATCAGGTTATCAAAAATTAATAACATTCCCATTCTGTGTGCTCAGACTTAAGAGAAAATGCATGTTTTCTCTTCCACTTCAAAAATAAGACTACTGTTTTCCATCTTTGCTAAACAGGAACTATTGCTATTCAATGGAGGAGGTAATCACCCCTTCCCCTGCATGATTTCTACCATGTAATCAGTACCGAACAACAATTATTCTCTTCCCATAAAAATGTCATGCCTTTAATGGCATGCTCTATTTTATGGCTATTAGAGCACAGAAGCACTACACCCTTGTCAAGAAAAGGGTGGGCGGAAGGCAATAAGCCTGACTGCTTCATGCAGTCATCATTTTACGTTATTCTCTACCCATGTCCCTGCTGTCTAAATCAGACAACATTTAATATAAAGAGGCAGTGTTGTTCTTCCAGGAAACTGAATAGAAATTATCTCCAGCTAGTGAAATTAGCCCTGTCATCCTATTGATTCTTTCAATTGATTCTTTCCCAGAGACCACAGTGAAAGGCTTGTAGAAGGAGGCACATATCAAGATCCCAAGTAGCTTTGTGCTGAGACCAGCTCAATGGTGGAGACCCTAACCCAGCGGTGCTAAAGGACTTAAAGACACTCACACAGAAACAGAGAGTGGAGAGGGAAAAAACAGGGCGCACACACCCCACAAAACAGAAAAACAAAAACAGTTTTACCCACATATTCATTGATAGCAAGCCAGTGATAAGCATTATAGATTATAGATTACATAAAAGCATTCCTTATGGGAAACAAAGGGATGGGCTCTGGTTATCTGCAGCAGGAACATGTCCTTAAGGCACAGATGGCACATGCTATTATTTGTGGTTCAGGGAAACCTTAAGCGGCTTTCTGCCCTGGGTGGGCCAGGTATTCTTTGCCCTCATTCTGGTAAACAAACAACCTTCAGGGTGGGCGTCATGACCATCAAGAACATATCACAGCACTACAGATTTTGTTTATGGCCAGTTTTGGAGCCTGTTTCTGGCCAGATTTGGGGGCCTGTTCCCAACACTTATAGGAAAAAAGATAAGAATAATTAAATTCTATCATGTTCTCCAGTAATGGTCCTTGGATATCCTCAGTATACACAATCCATCTGTGTGGTTTTATCCAAGAAGTGTATTTTGATTTCTAATGATTTGGAAGGCCTCAGGAAAGCCTGGGTCACATACATTACATTTATATGATTTCTCCTTGGTATGGAATCTCTGATGTTCATTAATGCTAGAGCTCATGATGAGATTTCCATACACAGTTTGTAAGGACTCTTTCATGAATAAATTATCTGATGCTGTCCAAGGTGTGAATTGTGACTAAAACATCTTACCGTGTACATTGCATTTGTAAGGTTTCTCTCCATTATGTGGTGATTTGCATTAGTAAGGTTTCTCTCCATTATGTGGTGATTTGCAAGGTGTGAATTTCAATTGGAGACATTGCCACATTCATTACAGTTGTAAGGTTTGTCTGCAGTATGGATTACAAGATGGGCAGTAAGGCCTGAACATTATCTAAATGCTTTGCCACATTCACTGAATTTGTAAGGCTTCTCTGCAGTATGAATTCTATGGTGATTGGTTAAGGAATACTTGTGACTGAAGACCTTTCACATTGTTTGTTCGCTGATTTGTTTCTTTGTTTTTCTAGGTAGGGTCTCACTCTGTCACCCAGACTGGAGTTCAGCACTGCAAACATGACTCACTGCAGCCTCAACCTCCCAGGCTTAAATGATCCTTCTGCCTCAGCCTCCCAAATAGTTGGGAATACAGACATGTACCAACACACCTGGCAAATTTTTTTATTTGTAGAGGTGGAGTTGTCCTTATGTTACCCAGGTGGGTCTGAAACCAGCCTGGCTAACATGGTGAAAAGCTGTCTCTACTAAAAATACAAAAAAGTAGCCAGGCATGATGGCATCATGTGCTTGTAGTCCTAGCTACTTGGGAGGTAGAGGCAGGAGAATGAATCGCTTGAACCCAGGAGGTGGAGGTTGCAGTTAGCTGACATTGCACCACTGCACTCCAGGCTGAACATCAGAGCGAGACTCTGTTTCTTAAAAAAAGAAAAAAAAAAAAAGACTTCTCTCCACTATGAATTACAAGATAAACAGTAAGACCTGAACACCCTCTAAATACTCTGCCATATTCATTACATTTGTAATGCTTCCTTCCAGTATGAATTCTTTTTTTTTTGGGGGGGTGGAATGGAATCACACTGTCACACAGGCTGGAGTGTAGTAGCACATTCTTGGCTCACTGCAACCTCCGTCTCCCGGGTTTATGTGATTCTCTTGCCTCAGCCTCCTGAGTAGCTGGGATTACAGGCACCCACCACCACACCTGACTAATTTTTTTGTTTTTAGTAGTGATGGGGTTTCAACATGTCAGTCAGACTGGTCTCAAACTCCTGACCTCAACTGATCCATCTGCCTTGGCCTCCCAAAGTGCTGGGATTACAGGCATGAGCAACTGCACCCAGCCTCCAGTATGAATTCTTTGATGTACAAGGAGTGAATTGTGACTTTGACCTTGTCACATTCATTACATTTAAAAGTTATCTCTGCAGTATGAATTTTCCAATGTTGTGCCAGGTGTGCATTTTATTTGAAGATGCCACATTCATTTGTAAGGTTTCTCTCCAGTATGGATTCTAAGATAGTTTACAAGGTGTATATTTTAAGTGAAGACCTTGCTACACTTGTTACATGTTTACAGTCGATCACCAGCGTGAATTCTCTTGATGAGAGGTCAGGGGAAACATAAGCCTGGAGACCTTCATGTATTCTCTACATTTGTAAGGTTTCCTTCTAGTATGGATTAACAGATGGATAGAGACGCCTGATTTCGTAAGAAATTCTTTGCCATATTTATTACTTTTGTAAGGCTTCACCAAATTTTTTTTTTTTTTTTTTTGCTCCTCTTGCCCAGGCTGGAGTGCAATGGTGCGATCTTGGCTCACCACAACCT